TACAGTGGTACCCCGCAAGACGAACGCCTCGCAAGACGGAAAACCCGCTAGACGAAAGGGTTTTCCGTTTTGGAGGCGCTTCATAACGCAATTTCCCTATGGGCTTGCTTCGCAAGACGACAGCCCATAGGGAAATCTCAGGGACAGCGGGGAAGCGCAGCGCGTCTTCCCCACTGTCCTCGGACCTCCTCCGAAGCCTGGCGGCGGGGCGGGGACACCTCCTCCCGCCGCCGCCGGGCTCGGAAGGCTCCTCCGGCCGGGCGGGGGGAGGGAACACCTGCCGCCGCCGCCCGGCTCGGAACGGTGCTCCGAGCCGGGCGGGGGGAGGGAACACCTGCCGCCGCCGCCCGGCTCGGAACGGTGCTCCGAGGCCGGGCGGGGGGAGGGAAGACCTCCCGCCTCTGCCCGGCTCGGAACGGTGCTCCGAGCCGGGCGGTGGGGAGGGAAGACCTCCCCGCCGCCCGGCCCGGAACGGTGCTCCAGGCCGGGCGGGGGAGGGAAGACCTCCCGCCGCCGCCCGGCTCGGAACGGTGCTCCGAGCCGGGCGGGGGGAGGGAAGACCTTCTGAAGGCGGGCGGGGGCGAAGTCTTGCTCCCCCTGCCTGCCTGTCCCGGAGGGCTTTTGAAGGCGGGGAGCAAGACTTCGCCCCGCCCGCCTTCAGAAGAGGTCCAGGACCTCTTCTGAAGGCTGGCGGGGGGCAAAGTCTTTGTCCCCCTGCCTGCCTTCCCAGGGGCTTTAAATTGCCCCGGACCGCGGAGAAGTCCTCCGCTGTCCCGGGGTGATTTTAAATGCCGCCCGCCAGCATTTTAAGATCGCCCGGACAGCGGAGAAGTCCTCCGCTGTCCCGGGGTTTTTTAAAATGCTGGGGGTGGGAAGAAAGGCCCTTGCTCCCCCAGCCTTCAGAAGAGGTCCGGGGACAGAAAGTACCCGGACCAGGTCTGAAGGCGGTTTCACTAGGAAAGCATTAATTGATTTTCAATGCATTCCTATGGGAAACCGTGCATCGCAAGACGAAAAACTCGCAAGACGAAGAGACTTGCGGAACGAATTAATTTCGTCTTGCGAGGCACCACTGTATATAAAATATATCAAAGAAAAAAATACTGTATTTACGTGAATCTAAAGCACCTTCGAATTTAATGCACATCTCAATTTTTGAAACCAAAGAAGTATTTGCTGGTGCCATCAGATCTAATGCGCATCCTAATTTGGCCAAAAAAGGTGTGCAATAAATTTGGGTAAATATGGTACATAGTAGCCCTGGTTCTTAGTAACAATTTTCCAGTGGCAGGGTCTGCTTATTTTAAATAAATATAAAAGAAGAGTAGTCCCTGTTGAGAGGGTTCTAAAACTAAGACATAAGCTGAGTAATAGGATTTCAGCCCTAGTCATGTTATGTGCAAGTCACAACAAATATCTGTTGATTAATAGGGCACTGCTCTGTTGGGTATGGAGCATGTGAACTCTAAGATACTGGTTTTATTATTGTTTTTAGTTTGAAAATGGACAAATATATTCCAAACTCTTGTTCTCTTCTTGTCTTGTCTCGTTTTGCAGTTGTACCCCACATTACAGATGCTATCCAGGAGTGGGTAATGAGGCAAGCACGAATCCCAGTAGATGACGATGGCATAGAACCTCAAGTCTGTGTGATTGAGGTTGGTATCCATGATCTGTTGCGCAGGTTAAAGGCTGAATGTTGTTGTGTCTTGCTAAACCATAGTGTATTGCAGTGCGGGTGAGCTGTAGGAAGGTTGTGCCTGATGCTTATTCTCTTTCTCACTTGGCCATTGTTTTTCATGCTGGCTTGTTTCAGACAAACCATAGTTAACATTAACAGTATTCTACTATTTTGGATGAAACAACAAAGCAAAAGTGTAAGTGAAAATTTCTGATCTCTTCCTCCTTGGGGGGGGAGGGTAAAGTGGCATACGAGCCCAAGATTTGCTGCAGCTTGTTCTTGTCATCAGTTTGCAGTAATCCATGTATTTTTTTAGAGTAACATGCAAATTTGGCCAAAGAGTCGTATCTAATTTTAGTCATACTTGGAATAGACTCCTTGAAATTAACAAACATGACTAACCTAGCTCTATTAAATCCAGTGAGTCTACTCCGAGTAAAACGTAGGCGGATGCAATCCAATATCTTTTTAGGAAATGTCATATATATTGATACAGTACTCTGGTTAGAATTCTGATAGGGGCATTTGAGAGAGTGTCAGCAATTCCCTCCCTCCTTTTAGCAAGTTCTGTCTTTGTTCATCTAAGGATTTGTTTGCATTAAAGTAACCTTTCCAAAGAGCATAATCTTTCCTGTGTTCTCCAGATAACATATAGCACTAATTTTCTGGGAAGATTTTGCTTGCAGTCACAGAATATGGAGGAAATTTAAAAGAAAAAATATTGGTTGGGTCAACTGGAAATGTGAAAGTGCCAAATACCTAATTGTTCTGGGTTGATCTTGCTTGGTTAGCAAACACTTCTATTTGAATCCAGGCTGAATGAGTTGAACTTTAGTTCCATTCAAAGAACTGGGATAGGATAGTTAGTTATTGCTTAGTACCCATTGAAATAAATGAAATTGAAGTGGAGGTAATTTAGTCTGGATCCAACCTATGGCTTGCATCATCCAGCATCTTATTACATAGCATACTTTGAGGTGAACTGCCGATAGTTATACAGAGTGACATTGACACTGTCTTTGTGTTCTAAAAACAGAGTATGGTGCTTAATTCTAGATCTCTCTGTTTTAGCTTGGAGGAACTGTAGGAGACATTGAAAGTATGCCCTTCATCGAGGCATTCCGCCAATTTCAATTCAAAGTCAAGCGGGAAAAGTTTTGTAATATTCATGTCAGTCTGGTACCACAGGTAAGGTATTACTGTTCTTTAATGATGTTGCTCCATCTCAGATGATTAGAAGTGTGTCTTTGGAAATGGGAAATGAAATTGGCATTTTTTTAGCATTATGAACACCAGTACTTAAAAATAATAATATGAAAAAGGCATAAAGGCAAAAAAATTAAGTAAAATATAGTAATTCAGGTGATCTTCATATGTTGTACCATGAGATACAAACACTAGTTGATGTTTGTATCAAATTGCATAGATTATCTCTGGAGAAGTAACCTGGATCTACCAGGCACTACGTAAATTGTCCTGTACAGGTTTACGTGGAAGTACTTCCTATGTTCAATGGGTCTTCCCACTCTTACATGCTTTATATTGCAGCTTTGGCACCTCAAGTATGACTGCTTCACTTGATATCATAACAATTAGGTTAGCCTATATACAGTATTAAATCCTTTCAGAAATAGTAGGAGCTACTGCCACATAAACATTTCTTTTTATGTCAGCTTTTTGTGGCAAGGTTGCTGTCCTATAGTTGATTACTCACGTATTTAATATCCAGTAAGAAATCACTGGCTTCTGAAATAATGTAAATATATATCTTAGTATATGGCCATGACATCAATAGCTTCTTCCATTTGTATTGTAATAAATTTAGTGGAGCCTTACTCGTATGCATAGAAAAAATACCCCAAACTCCTGTGAGTTTTGCTCATCCAAGTAGAAGCATTAAATCATGTTCCTGAAAGCATCTGATAAGGAATTAATCAGTATAGGCACATTTAATACTAAATTGTTCAGCAAGCCTTATTATAGCATGTGAAGCTGTCTTATAATGTTGTTCAGATAAAATCAATTTTACATTATTCTGGGCCAGTGAAAAATACTTCATTTTGCTGTTATTGCTTGCTGTTTCCTTCAGTGATTTGTTAGATTTGCTAAAACTTGGATGATGGCTGTATATGTTGCTGCAGTACATAATACTTTGGAGGCTGTAGATTTGACACACTGTCTTCTCATACATATTTCTTGATCCTTGTGTGCTAGCCAAGCTCTACAGGAGAACAGAAGACAAAACCCACCCAGAATAGTGTTCGTGAACTCCGGGGTCTTGGTCTCTCACCAGATCTGGTAAGTTTGCTGTGGCATGTAGAAATCACACTCGGCTGGTTTTATAGAAGTTCTCAAATGTCATAAGTCATGGGGTGGAGAGAGTTGTTTTAAATGATGCCATATCGACAAATAGCCATGAAGCATTTTGTTTGCAGAAGGCTACAAGGTATATTTCATTAACCTACCAAGTGCTAAAGGTTAGGTTTATAACCTGGTGCAGTATTGTTTGATAACTTACTGTTTTCATTCCTAGATTGTATGCAGATGCTCCACGCCTCTAGATACCTCAGTAAAAGAGAAGATTTCCATGTTCTGTCATGTAGAACCAGAACAGGTAAAAATTGTTTAAATGTATGTGTTTTGATACCGTTTGCACATTTATTTGTGTACAGTTGTACCTCCGCATGTGTGTGCAGAAGCGGTCCTTTGGTTGCGAAAACTTCGGGATACGGCCAGACCTCCTGTTCGCAACCAGAGGTACCACTGTACTTAAGTCATAGATCTGGTCTGTGCATGTAGCAAAATCTTCCCTTTGCAATATACAGCATATAAAGCCCCCCCCCAAAATCCTCCCAGGTACTAGAGCTGTGTATTATGCACATCAAAAATGTGACAGTGAGTATTCTTTTATTGAACAGGTAATTTGTGTTCATGATGTCTCTTCCATCTATCGGGTACCTCTTTTGCTAGAGGAGCAAGGGGTGGTTGATTATTTCCGACACCGGCTTGACCTTCCCATTGAAAAGCAGCCTAGGAGAATGCTCATGAAATGGAAGGAGATGGCTGACAGGTGAGCTCGCTCGTAGGAAGCAACTGTGCTGTTCTGACCTACTATGTTAGCAGAGGAGTGGCTAGGAGGAGAGCTTGCTTCCTTAGCCCTCTCCAGAGTATTTTGGCAAGAACAGATTCTCTTCCTAACTATTCACTCACAGAAAAACTGTAGATAAATCTTTTACAGGTACAGTAAGTTAGAACTTGGCAAATTTTGCTGTAGACTAGTTCCTGTGTTAACCTTTATAGTTTTCTCTTAACTGGACTGAAGTAGCTATAACATGTGGATGAGTACTTAGAATCATAGAGCTGGAAGGGACACCACGGGTCATCTAGTCCAACCCCTGCAATGCAGGAATCTCAACAAAAACATCCATGACAGATGCCCATCCAACCTTTGCTTAAAAACCTCCAGTAAAGGGAATTAAGGAAAGATTTAAACTTAATTAAGGCTACAATCTTATACCACTAAGCTGGGAGTATGCCCCATTGAGCCCAATGGGATGTTTCTCAGTAGACATGCCTTCATGTAGAGAAGCCTAAAAAAAACCTCTTATCCCCATACAGTGGTGCCTCGCAAGACGAAATTAATTCGTTCCGCGAGTTTTTTCGTCTAGCGAATTTTTCGTCTTGCGAAGCACGGTTTCCCATAGGAATGCATTGAAATTCAATTAATGCGTTCCTATGGTCAAAAAAAGTCCAAACAAAGCCAAATTTGGTACAACAAGAGTTTATTAGCTGCTCTTTAAAGTCACACATACTTTAAAGAGCATATCAAAAATTGAAGGAACAATAAATTAAGTTTCTAAACATGACAGGAAAAACATTTAAAAATCAAAAAGGGTACATTACATTTTCTAAGACTCTGGGGGACCACTCGAAGAAGGTTCCTCTTCCACTCTTTGCTTCTTGCTGAGGAACCTGTCCATGGTCTGCTGCTTCATCCGCCTTTTCAGCAGCTCCCTGAGAGGCAACATGACCGTCGTATCAAAAATGTTCGCTTGGTCATGTGCCACGTGCTTGTCAGGGTGGTGCCGCTCTGCAAAAGCCTGCACCTCCTTCCACTTCTGGCAAATGTCCCTCAGTTCTTTGGAGGACAGCCGTTCCTCAGTTGCTTCCTCCTCTTCCAGCGAGGCCTGCTCCTGTGCAGCCTCTGACTGCAGTTCAACCAGCTCCTGGGTGGTCAGCTCGTGGTCGTGCTCCTCCACCAGCTCGCAGACGTCCTCCTCTGTGACCTCCAGGCCCATGGTCCTCCCCAAGGCAACAATGTCCTGCACCACTGTCGACTCTGGTGCATCAGAGTCACTTGGTGCCACACAGTCCGGCCACAGGCTGCGCCAAGCGCAATTCAAATTCCTCTGGCTGATCCCCTTCCAGGCCGTGGTGATCATCTTCAAGCAGGTGACGATGTCGAAGTGGTCCTTCCAGAATTCCCGCAGGGTGATGGTGGTGCAATCAGTCACCTCGAAGCATCGCCTGAAAAGCTCCTTGGTGTAGAGTTTCTTGAAATTGGCGATGACCTGCTGATCCATCGGCTGGAGCAGTGGCGTGGTGTTAGGCGGCAGGAACATGATGTTGATGAAGCTGAACTCCTCCAACAAGTCCACCTCAAGGCCTTTAGGATGAGCAGGAGCATTGTCCATCAGAAGCAAAGCCTTCAGCGGCAGGTCGTTGTCCAGCAGGTACTGTTTGACAGCAGGGCCAAAGGCAAGATTGACCCAGTCCACAAACAGCACACGTGTGACCCAAGCCTTGCTGTTGGATCGCCACATGACACTCAGCCGCTCCTTGTCGACCTTGTGTTTCTTGAAGGCCCGTGGGTTCTCCGAGTGGTACACCAGCAGGGGCTTGATCTTCAGGTCGCCGCTTGCATTGGCACAGAAGAGCAGGGTCAGACGGTCCTTCATGGGCTTGTGGCCAGGCAACTTGGCCTCCTTCTGTGTGAGGAAAGTCCTTTTGGGCATCCTCTTCCAAAACAGCCCGGTCTCGTCGCAGTTGAAGACCTGCTGTGGAACGTAGCCCTCCGTCTTCACAATCTCCAGGAACTCCAAGGCAAAGTCTTCAGCCGCAGGAACATCAGAACTGGCAGCCTCTCCATGCCTGACCACGCTGTGGATTCCGGATCTTGCCTTGAACCGGTCAAACCAGCCTCTGCTTGCCTTGAAGACTTCTGGCTCGGCCGAGGTTCCTGGCTGTTCCCGGATGAGGTCTGCGTGCAAGGCCTTGGCCTTCTCACAAATCACGGCCTCAGTCACTGTGTCCCCTGCACGCTGCTTCTCTTCTAACCAGATGAGCAGCAACTTCTCGACCTCCTCCAGAACAGCTGGGCGGTTCTTCACGATCCTGGTGACTCCCTTGGCTGCATCAGTCGCAAGGATCTTCTCTCTCATCTTCAGGATGGTCCCGATGGTCGATGGGTTCCTGCCGTACTCCCTGGCGAGGTCCGTCACACGCATTCCACCGTCGTGCTTCCGGATGATCTCCTTCTTCATCTCCAGCGTCACCTTCTCCTTCTTCCTCTCGCCGGCCTCCGCAGCAGCAGCCTTCTTGGGTCCCATGGCAGCACAGCTGTTACCTTTGTAAACTCAGAAAAAAAAAAAAAATCAGCAATTCAAACCCACAACCAAGTCCTTGAATTCCAAACACCCAACCCAAAATCCAAAAACCCCCAAAAAGTTTTAAAAGTTTAACTTACGAAATGGCTGCAAATCACCAAAGTCTTCAAAATCCTCAAATGGCTGCAAAAGAAGTTTTGGGAAAGCTTTAAAAATCACCAAAGTCTTCAAAAACCTCAACTTTTACCCCAGCCCCTCCCCAACTGTTGCAAACCCCTCCCCAACTGTTGCAAACCCCTCCTCAACTGTTCCCCCAGCCACCCAGCACACAGAAATTCAAAACCCAGAAAATTTTTCAAAAAAAAACAACATGGCCCAATGGTTACAGAAAACCATAAAAATTCAAAAAAAAGCACACAAGCTCCCAGGTTCCTGCAAACCCCTCCCCAGCTGTTCCCCCATCCACCCAGCACACAGAAATTCAAAACCCAGAAAATTTTTCAAAAAAAAACAAACAACATGGCCCAATGGTTACAGAAAACCATAAAAATTCAAAAAAAAAGCACACAAGCTCCCAGATTCCTGCAAACCCCTCCCCAGCTGTTCTCCCATCCACCCAGCACACAGAAATTCAAAACCCAGAAATTTTTTTCAAAAAAAACCAACATGGCCCAATGGTCACAAAAAATCATAAAAATTCAAAAAAAAGCACACAAGCTCCCAGATTCTTGCAGACCCCTCCCCAGCTGTTCCCCCATCCACCCAGCACACAGAAATTTAAAACCCAGAAATTTTTTTCAAAAAACAACATGGCCCAATGGTCACAAAAAATAATAAAAATTCAAAAAAAACCACACAAGCTCCCAGATTCTTGCAAACCCCTCCCCAGCTGTTCCCCCATCCACCCAGCACACAGAAATTCAAAAATTCAAAGCCAGATTTTTTTAAAAAAAAATAAACATGGCCCAATGGTCACAGAAAATCATAAAAATGCAGAAAAAAGACACACAAGCTCCCAGATTCTTGCAAACCCCTCCCCAACACCAAGTCCTTGAATTCTAAACACCCCAACCCAAAATCCAAAAGCCCAAAAAAAGTTTCAAAAGTTTAACTTACCAAACAGCTGCAGAAGAAGTTTTGGAAAAGCTTCAAAAATCCAGCAAACTCTTTAAAAAGCTCAGAAAGGCCACCACACCGCGTGCAATGTGTTGCTCCTCGAGGTCAAGTCGCAACTGCACCTCTTCCAGCAATGCACCCTGGGTTTTAACGGTTTTACGAAAAGGAAACAAACTTGCAAGACGTTTCGTCTTGCGAAGCAAGCCCATAGGGACATTCGTCTTGCGAAGCAACTCGAAAACGAAAAAACCTTTCGTCTTGCGAGTTTTTCGTCTTGCGAGGCGTTCGTCTTGCGGGGCACCACTGTATCTTCATTCT